CGGCCTTTCCTGGCTTCACCCCCTCGCTCAGCTCCTGGGGCCCCCCTTGCAGCCTCTGCCCCGCGTCCTCCCCGGGCAGCCAGAATGGGCTTCGCAAAATGCAAACCAGACCTTGTCATCCCCCCAGTTGCCGCCTGGGCTGGCCCCTAGCACCCCTTCCTGGATTGCTTCCTCCCCAGGGACCCCAAGAGCTGGCCCCTGCCTGACGTCCTCCCTGGATATGGCCGCTGGGTTCCATGTCCACCTTCTGGACCCTTAATATTGCCTGATGGACTGATGTCCCCACCTCCATCCTTCAGTCCACACTGCCCACAGTGGCCCTCGGTCAGCTCCACGGAACTTCCCACCCTCTGAGTGAGGAGTCCGTGTCCCAGGGTGTGCCCTCTTGTCCTCTGGCCAGAGGGAGGTACTAGCCTGGCTGCGTCCCCCCGTGCCCTAGCCTCTCGGCACAAGCGGCCACTGGGCTCTCTGCCTCCTGATCACCATGAGAGCGGCTTCCCTCCCCCAGGAGGTGAAGAATGGACGCTGGGTCATGGAGGGACACCGAGGCCCCTCCCCGTGTGCAGAACCTTGCTGACCCGTTGCTGCTCGAGTCCGGGAGGGGGCAGGGGAGACGACCTACAACTGCCCGCCGGGCCGCCCCCCTTCCAGGTCTAGCTCCCATGTCAACTCTGGAACCTGCCCTGCTTCCCGCCCCCACCCCTGGGTCTCTCTCCATTCCCTGCACAACCGCCTTTCCCCCCACTTCTGTGCCACCTGTACCCGGGGACACATTTATATTTAGTGGGGGAACGTGACCCACTCAGTTCTGCGTCCACAGCTGAGAGCCACGTGGCCTTGGGCCAGGTTTTGCTCAACAGCAGTAAAAAGCCCAGGTCTTGCATCTCACGTAGGCGCCTGTGAAGCGCCGTCTGATCAGGACAGGCTGCGTCTCGCCCTCCAGCAGGTCCCCCGTGCCCCGTCCTGCCCGGCCACACTCCGCCCAGGCTCACGGTCGCAGGCCGTCTCCCTGGGCTCATCTCCACGGCCACTTGGCTCGCCTTAGTTTCCTCAGTGCTGCGCAGACGCACCAGCCTCCCTGTCCTGTTCAGAGGCCTGTCCTCGGGGCTGGGCCAAGTTCACCTGCTCAGGTGCGCATCTGAGCCTTCACGGCCATGCACACACACCCCTGTGTGAGCGCCAGGCACATGCACACATGCACACACGCTCCTGCCAGGTGCCCGCTTTCCCGTCCTCCTATCCAGCCTTCAACTCTAGGTCCTCAAACCAGAGGCCCACGTGGACTGGACGTCAGGGGCCTCACCGCCTCGGGTGCAGGGTGGCCTGGTGGCTCACTTCTAGTGCCATCATAGCAATAGTCACGCGACGTGTCTTCAGAGATGAGGTTACAAACTGTGGGGCTTCCATCTTGGGCCCCCTCATTTGGACATGTCACTCTGGAGGAAGCCAGCTGCCATCTGTGAGGCCCCCAAGATGCCTCCCAGTGGCCACAGGAAGGAACCTGGCAGCACAGCCTCCCCCAGGTGTAACTTCACCCCAGCTGACGCCTTGGCTAAGTTCATCAGAGCCTGGGCTCATTTGCAGCTGGATTCCTGACCACAGAAATGATGAGAGAGAAATACCAAGTTGGGCTGCGGATGGGACTCTGGACTTAGCATGCCTGAGGCCCTGTGTCCCACCCCCAGTACCACAAAGGAAAGGAAAAAAAAAAACTACCAAGTTTGAGCCATTTGTTACACAGCCAGAGATGACTAACATAGAATGCCCAGAGAGACCCAGTAAGCTGCCCAGAGTGGCCCAGCTATGACTCTAGAACCATCGGACCCCCAATTCAACATAGCCCCACAATCTGTGTTGGTTCACGAGGCTGCTCTGAGCACACAGGTGCCACAAGTCACAAAGGACAAGGTGACCCTCCATCGGGCCTTTGAGGGGAGAGAGCCCACCTGTTGTCAAAGAAGGCACGGATGATTTTGGATCGGATCGGGTTGAGCTCCAGGTCGGGGACATTGTTGAAGTTCTCCTTGCTGGTTTCCAAGAGGAGAAATGCCAGGGAAAGAACAAGAAGAAAGCACACGTCAGCCGATGTCACCCTCACGTGCCCAGCTGCACCACTCCATCCCCAGCAGGCCTTGCAAGGAAGAGATCAGAGTTAAGAGACGGTTGAAATGGACCTCACATCCCTTCCGCCCACCTGGAGACTTGAGAATCCGAGACAGACTGGACATTCGTGCAGACACAAAGGGTGTGTACCCCATTCTGGATGCCTGTCCTCAGGCCCCAGGAAGGGAACCCCTACTTTGTCTGCTCTGAGCTCTGAGCAGCAGGATGCTGGCTGGGAGCTTTGGGAAACAGTCTGGCAGTTCCTCAAGAGCCAACAGTCACCACATAACCCAGCACCACATGCCTAGGTATGAGCCCAGGAGAACTGAACACCTGTACTTCACAGCAACATCACTCCCAGTAGCCAGAGGAGAGAGGATCCAGATGTCTGCAGGCTGGTGAAAGGGCAGACTGTGGTATGTCCATTCAGAGGACTATGACTCAGCCCTAAGGGGCAACGATTCCTGCTACCTCCCAGAGGAGCCTCAAAGACATGATGGCAAGTGAAAGAAGCCAGTCACAAATGGTCACAAATGCCCTGACTGCACTTAGATAAAGTGTCCAGAGCAGGCTAGTCCATGACACAGAACAGGGTTGCCAGGGGCTGGGGTTGGAGGATGGAAAGTGACATCTGAAAGAATTTGGCTTCTTCTTGGGGTGACATACATGTTCTGGGCTTGATGGTGGTGCCTGGATGCAGGACTCTCACTAAAGCCCACTGAATCCTGCATTTTAATGGGTGAGCTACGCGGCAGATGAATTTGATTTCAGTAAAGCTGTTTTTTAAAAGCCACCTGCTGTGGGCTTGGGGCAGGGAGCGTGCGTTTCCAGTGAGGGTGCCCTGGAGCCGGCACGGCTCCCCCAGGCTGGGGCTCAGGCACCGCTACATCCTTCTCCTGCCTGTTCTCCTTCCCTGTTCTTGGAAGCTGCTTCCTGTTCACCTCTTGCCTGGGCTCTGTATGCCCATGGACAGTGACCTCAGGAGGGACCCAGGGCACAGGCTGCTGCTCCTGAGGAACAAGGTGACACGCACAGCCAGGGAGGTGGGAAGACAGTTGTGAGCCTTGGGACTCCAGCCCAGGGCAGACTCGTGCTGGGTGAGGTATGAGCCATGCCCCAAGCACACGGCTCAGCCCACGCTGCCCGCCCCTCACGGGGGCCCAGAGGCCAGGCAGACACAGGCATGAGCAGGACCAGGCTGCCTCCTGGATCCCCTCAGTTTTCCTCACCCCCAAGAGGCTGCTTGTCCTTCCCTCGTGGCTGGGCTCGCTGGTGGCAGATGGCCAAACTCTGGAGACGGTGTCGGTGCAGGAGCCCATTCCGAGGGAGGAGGCGCTCAGAGCAGTTGGCCCAGAGTGACGGGATGTTAGGCAGTCATAAGAAAATAATGGAAATTTGGGGACCATAAAAAGGGATGAAGTAAGCCAGGCGTGGGAGTGTCCACCTGTAGTCCCTGCTACTCGGGAGGCTCAGGCTGGAGGATCACATGTTCGAGGCCAGGCTGGGCAACGTAGCAAGACCCCCATCTCCAGACCAAACCAAGCCTACCACAGAGGATGGCTCCACACGAACCCCAGAAACGTCCTGCTAAGAAGAGGCGCGCAGGCCACACGCAGTAGCCAGAGGAGAGAGGATCCAGATGTCTGCAGGCTGGTGCCCAGAAGAGGTGAATCCGGAGACGGGAAGCACAGCACTGGCTTCCGGGGGCCGGGTGATGGCGAATGGCCCTGGGGTCTCATTTAGAAGAGGTTCTAAACTCGATCTCAGACTTTAAACAGACGAATTATACAATATCTACATTAAATCTCCATGACACTATTTACAAACCTCCCTGAACTGTTACCGAAGGAGCCCTGAGCTAGGACTCCATTCACCCCGGGGCACAGAGCGTGCCCAGGAACCCGCAGCCAGCAGCCAGGGTGATGCCAGCTCCTGGGGCGGTGACCGGGGAGCACAGGGGGCCTGGGCTGGGAACGCTCCTCTGGGCAGTCCCCGCCACTAGAGTCCCTCCCGGGTACTTTTCTCTGGGCACGTCAGGTCCCCATGTGCTAGGACAGCGTGTTGCCCTCCCACCTCGGCTGGAGGGACCACAGGACACGGGGCAGAGAGACCAGGCCCTGGAGAGGAACAAGCCGAGGTTACCAGGAGACAATCAGTTCACAAAGTCACGATCGGGTGACGGACAGCAACAGCTCATGTTCCCTGTGCAAGTGACCTGCCCAGGCCCCCTCTACCCGGAAGCGCCTCATGGTGGCTCTGTGGTCCCTGACCTAACAGGTGTGGCTGGACAGGTCCCATGACCTGTCCTGCTCAGCCAGCTGGGGTTGGAGTGTCACACGGGACCCCCATGCCGGACCTCCATGCCACCCTGCCCTGCATTTCTCAAAGTCCCCATCCCTGACTGAGAAAGGGACCGGCAGAGCTGGAGAGGGAACTGGGGGGAACAGGACGAAGCCACCCTGCGAGCAGGCGGCCCAGGGCACCCAGAGCCTCCGGCTCTCCTTGCTGGGGCCTGGTGGAGAGGCCCGGAGCCCAGCTCCTGGCATCCGCCCGGGCCGTGCACTGCTCTGCTCCCCTGGTCAAGCGACTCTGCCTCTCTGAGCCACAGTCTCCTCCTCTGGAAACGGGAGTCTTGCACGGTCTGTGTGCAGCTCATGTGACCAATTCGTGACACACTTAGCACCTGCTGTATACAGAGTGCACCATAGATGGCAGTTTTCAGGCCAGGGAATACAAGCGCCTGTGGAGGGGACCCTGGGTGTCCGGTGCCAGGCCCAGCTCCTTCCCTGGGACGAGCTGTCCAGGCCCAGGGAGGAGAGCAGTGGGGAGGAGGGAGGGAGGTGCCGTTCCCTAGCTTCAGTGGTTACGGGGCTGCAAGGTCTCCCTCGGGGACACCCGACACCTGCCAGTCTCTGACCCACCAGCAGCCCAGAGCCCGGGGCCCGGGGGAGGCTTTTGGTGCCATCGACCCCGGTGTCAGCCTGTCCTCCCCTCCTCCCCGCCCACCCCCAGGTGCCCACTGGGCCGGTTGAACTGGCCGGGAGGAGGTGTCCTGCCAGGGGACTGTGCTCTGCCTCTCCTCGGAGCCCAGGCTGGGACCAGAGCCAACTTACAGTGACCAGCGTCCACTAGCGCTGCCCCAGGGGACATCAGAGCATGGGGTTGGCCCACCAGGGGACCCACACCTCCTCTGGGAGCTCAAGCCCTGGAGTGCTCTCACCAGGCCAGGCTGTGCCAGTCACTGTGAGGTCTAACCACGCGTCCACACACCCACAGCCACACAGCGAGGCCCAGAGAGGCGAAGTGACTGACCTGCAGTCACACAGCCAGCGCAAGGGCTCTGTCCTCCGCCTGCTCTCACCCTCCAGGCCGCTTCCTCCCCGGCCACTTCCTCGCCCGGCCACTTCCTCCCCCAGGCTGTGCATTTTAACTTAAAGTGAAAGACAGGGGACCAGAGTTGTGGCTCGGAGGTAGAGCTCTCGCCCATAGGTGCCAAGTCTTGGGTTCCATCCCCAGCACAAAAAGAGAGGGGGCGGGAGGAGAGTGGCATCTGCTCCCTGAGCTCCCAGCCTGAGGCCCCATTAGGAACCCAGGGACAGGCAGGTCAGGCATCATGGTCCAGGGGGGAACGAGATTAAAATCACCAGTGAAGGCTGCTGGCCCCTCCGGAGCCGCGGTGTGGGCTGGGGTCCTTAGGCGGCTGGGGCCGGCGCAGCTGCAACCGGCTCTGTACTTTGGGCCCCGAGTCCGGCTTAACCCCACGGAGGCTGCGAGCCAAGCCCACAGCGAGGTCCCGGATTCTCAGCCCCCGCTCTCTGCAGGCCCAGGGCTCCCCACCCAGCAAGGCCACCCGTCCTCCCCTGCCCAGCTCCACCAAGTCCCCACCCTGCGCTGTCCGATGCTCCCCTGTGGGAATCTGAGGCCCCCGCAGGTGGGTGTCCAGGCCAGGCCCAGCCAGTCACCTGAGGACACAGGGGGACCAGAGAGCAGGCCTCGGGGGTCTGCTGCAAGAGACGATGGCAGTCTGGGGGTGCACAGGGAGAAGTGGGGGGACAGCAAGCGTGGGCTCCTGGAGGGAGGAGCCGCTGTGTCTGCTGAGCCCGCAGAAGCAGGGGTGAGCCCAAGAGGGACACCAGGGGAGACTCAGGAGATTCAGCCGCTGGAAGGGTGAGGTCTGGGGACAGACAGGGACAACTGGGAGGGCTGATGAGGGCTCGCTTGGGACATGAGGCAGGTGGGGTTGCTGCAGGAGTGTGGGGTCTGTCTTGCTGGAGGCGCGACTCTGGGGGTTAACGTGCAGGTGGGGTTTCGAGTCATGAGTGTGTATTTTAGCTCAAGGACAACAGGAAGCTGTCCAGCCATATGACGGCGGGTGACCTGTCCCCACCTCTCCATCTCCCACCCTCAAGCTAGGGAAGCTGGGTCCTCCCCACCTTCACACCCAGAAGCTCCTCCCCTCCCCGCTGGTCTCAGCCCAGATGTGGCCTCCTCTGAGGAGCCTTCCCTGACTGCCCATCCTGAGGTCCCTGTCCCCACCACGGTCCCAAGGGTGGCACCCTCTCTGCCCCTTCCTCCATCACACCGTGACACCTAACAGCCTTGCTCCATGCTCGCTCTCGCCAGCTCCGCCTACCCTCTGCGCCCCTTCCCCTCTCCCAGGAGATCTGCCCTAGAACCTCCCACAGAAGGCCCTGGGCGCCTGCTTGTCGGGGAGCAGGGACGGTGTCAGCATCCCACACCTCGGGGAGAGGATCTCTGGACACGGCACACGTGAGTGAGCGCCGCCATTCATCCAAGACCCGGGGAGCTGCTCTGGAAACCCCTCTGCACCCCATCTCACCACCCCGACTCCTCCAGCTTCCCTTCCCACACCTGCTCCCAACCCCCTCCGTACAGACGGGGAGCCCCCAGGTGGCGGGAAGGGAGCTCTCGCTAACTCGGGAACCTATCGATCCTGACCGTGACATGCCCTGGGGAGGGTGACAGGGCCCCAGCTTCACTGTCTCGAGGACTTCTACAGCACTGCCACGACCCCGGCAGGTCACAAGCCAAGGGACCTAATTCTAGGGACAGCGACGTGACTGCAGGGTCGGGGCTTTGGCTCTGCGGATGGCAGTTGAACCCCACCCCTGGCTGTGCGGGCAGAACTGCTCTAACCTCAGGCTCTTCACTGGTGAGATGGGTCCAAGGTGCAAACCTCTGAAAATCCTGGAGAACCCCAAGGCCACGCAGCCCAGCCGGAACCCCGGTGCCTGGCCACTCCTGGCAGCTGGGACTTCCGCATACGCGCGTGACCCCGCTCTGACTTCCGAGGGAAAAGCGAAGGTGGGAAGCCCCCACAGGACCTGAAGTCAGGACGCTCTGTGGTGGCCCTGCATGGCTCCGCTCTTGGAGAAGTCACCTGCCTTCCCCATGCATGCCTGGGGCTGGGTCCACCCCAACATCACTCCACGTTCAACATCATGGGTTTAAACTACCCAGGTCTGGGCCTTGTGAAGAACCCCACCAGCCACACCTATAATCCCAGCATTCAGGAGGCGGAGGCAGAAGGATGGCAAGCTTGAGGTTAACCCGGGCAACTTAAAAGATCCAAAGGGCTGGTGTGCAGCTCAGCGGCAGAGCACTTGCTTAGCATGTGCGAGGCCCTGGGTTCAATCCCAGGCGCTTCCCTCCCCAAAAGAGGGTATACCTAAAAGTGGGGTCCTGAAGCGGGGCAGTAAATGCTTCAGGGTCAACCTGCCCCCAGAAGTTCTGAGGTGATTTTTGAGACAGAGGGGTCCAGACAGGACATGGGTAGAAAATGGCATATCTAAGATGAAAATCTGGCTCCTCCACTTAGAAGCTGTGTGACCAAGAGGCTCACTCTTGCCGAGGCTGGCTTTGAACTCTCGGTCCTCTCTCAGAGCCCTGCTTCCTGCCTGCCACCTGGAGAGAGCAAGTGTTCCTACAGCTTCCTGTGGGGCTGTGCAGGACCACAGGGACACACCCCTCTGCCCCACACCCTCGACAAGCTCAAGGAACAGCAGCCTCACCTGTGGGCAGTTCTGACCCCAGATCCTCCTTGCCTGGGCTCTTTTCACAGGTTTGAGCATCCTTAATTAGAAAATGCAAAATCTGGGACTTGGTGACATGACCAGCAACTGGACAATGCCACACCACGAGACCGAGTTTCACACAAAGTTAAGAGATGAAATTCACCTAGGCACATAAGTTGTGTTTGAGACAGGGGTGAATTTCATGTTTGGACTTGGGTCACGTCCCCAAAATATCCTATTACAAATAGGCACTCTGGGGAGGGTGGGGAGGGCCACCGTTTCACCTGAGCCCCTGTCCTGCTGGTGAGGAGCGGGAAGCGGAGAATCAGTGTCAACACAAAGGTGGTGCAGAGTCACATAAGAGCTGTTGGCAGCTGTCCCACCGAGGAAGACCTACTGTGCGCTGTCCTGGGTGCTGAGCGTCTGCAGCGCTAGTTAGAAATGCTGTTCCAAAGCCCACCCCAGACCTGCCCAGGCAAAGCCTGTATCTTTTTTTTTTGTACCAGGGATTGAACTCAGGGGCACTGAGCTGCATCCCCAGCCCTATTTTGTATTTCATTTAGAGACAGGATCTCACTGAGGTGCTTAGGGCCTCACTTTTGCCGAGGCTGACTTTGAACTCGCCATCCTCCTGCCTCAGCCTCCCCAGCCGCTGGGATGACAGGTGTGCGCCACCGCGCAGGGCCAAAGCCTGTATCGCAGCAGCTTGCCAGGTGATTTGCACAGGCACTCGAGTTGGCATGGGGCGCACTCTTCCAAGATTCTCCCAAAGCCTTTGCTGGGCTGCGAGGCAATATAGACACTGGAACCAAAACCCCGAACGGCCTCCCTCTCCAGGCCTTCTCCTGCCCACAGCGCTCAGCCCCACTCTGCACCCTCCTCCACAGGATGCGGTGGAAGGACCCAGCCCCGGTCTCCGTCATCTGCAGGCATCTGCTCCAATGGGGGGACCGTGCCCACTTCTCCACAAGAAGACTCAGAGAAACAGGCGGCTGGCCCAAAGCCACACAGCCAATGGCAAGAAGGATTCAACTAGGGATTTGCTTCCCAAACCTGGGGTTTGCCTCTCCATCCCTCAAGTCTCTTCACCAGCCAGACCCAGGCCTTCACAGCTGGGGCGGGGCAGCACGCCTAATTTGCATGTCCAGCTCCTGGTCACCGTGATTGGCTCAGACTCAGACATGTGATCCCATGAGAGCCAATGAGAGGCCGGGTGGCTTACACTGGGCTCAGGCTGGCCCTCCTGGGGGTGCGGGGAACTTAGCGGGCAGGTGAGTGGCCCTGAGGGTGCTGGTCCTGGTCGCCCTTGACTTTGGATAAGTCAAGACCACAAGAACCAAGCCACCACCAGCATCCGGGCTCTTGAAAGGGATGCTCTGAGATCAGGATGCCCTCGAGCAACAATGTGCCTTTGTTCAGGCAGACAAGAGAAGGTGGAGACGTTGGTGTTGGTTTCCATAAAAGGAAGGTGACATTTAAGTCTGTCTACTAAGGAGGAGGAAGTCTTCCTGGACTATTTAAAGGTTTTAAAGCTCCAGTGACTGTCACCTTGAGGCCCTGGATGTTTATTTGAGGACACATCTCTGTTAGAAAGTCTGTGGTAGAAATCTGCTCCCGTGGGACAGTCAGCTGGGCTTGCTGCAGCCACACCTGAAGCTCTCTGGCCCACTGTGTGACCACCCGACCCCTGGATGCCAAGGCCCCCTCACCAACCTCCTTCCAAACTACTCAGCCAGCCCCGGGCACCGCCAAGGCATTCTTTCCCATTAAAAAAAAAAAAAAATACCACTTGGATGACATCTAGAAAAGTAACTTTTAAAACACGGTCGAGAAGGTCTATTTTCCTTGACAGAAACTTGAGGCTGTAAATAATGGAAGGAAGCAGAATCCCAAGACGGGGGCCTTGGGACCACACTGGCACCCTGCACCACACGACTCACCTTGTGCGCCCAGCGCTGGGCAGGGTCCTGGTGCTTGGGTGGCCCAGGGACTGTTCCTCCCCTCTCCTTCCTCCACTCCAGTTAAAAATCTCTGGTCCCAATACAAACAGAAGTGGCTTGTCCCCTTCCAGCTAGGGGACATCTTGTCTTAGAAGGGACCAGAAGAATTTAAACAACTGCAGGCTTGTTTCAGGACAGGGGCCACTGGGGGCTCTCCCAACCCTCCGCTGCCCTCAGGGAAGAGAAAAACAAAGGAAAGTCCCCGAGCGCCACAGGCCCAGCCTGGTGCCCACGCCAGCCAGTGGCAGGTCTTACCGGATGGTGGGCTGGTCTCCACTCAGCTGCTTAAACCTCCGGTGCAGCTGCTCAATCTGCTCCGAGGAGACTGAGAGTAGAGAAAGAAAAGGAAAGAAGACACGCATCACTGACAGAGGAACTTGGGAGACCAGAGGAGGCTGTGGACACTCTTCTGCCCCCTCCTCACCTGGGTGCTGGGGTCCTTGTCATGACAGCACCCACCCAGGAAAAACTCAAGGCTGGACAAGAAAGTGGAGGGTCCCCACTGTGCCTGGCAGAGCAGCCCTGGGGTTACCTGCTCTCTTAGTAGTAACACAACTGTGAACTAATAACAGGGCAGACAGACCTCGCCATCCTCTCTCAACCATGGTCCAGCCCCAGCCCACTAAGGACAAAGCTGGATCTGCTTATGTGACCTCCTCTCTGACTTCACAGGATGGGGTTTTTCCAAGCTGAGAAAGGCAGATTAAGAGTTAGATGAAGCTGGGCGCTGTGGCGCACGCCTGCAACCCCAGCAGCTTGGGAGGCTGAGGCAGGAGGATCACAAGTTAGAGGCCAGTTTCAGTGACTTAGCAAAAGTCTGTCAGATCAACGGAGGAATGAATACAGAGCTGGGATATGGCTCAGTGGTAGAGTGGCTCTGTGTTCAATCCCCAGGAACCCCCCAACCCCACCACCCACCCACACACACACCCACACACACACACACCCACACACACACACACACACACACACACACACATGCAGAGGAGCAGGCTGATGTGGAAAGCTGTTCGAGAATCTTGGAGTAAGAAATGTTCCAAGAATCTGGTGCCATGAGGGCAGGGAAAGGGAAGGGCTCAAGTTTTGATCCCGGTGGCCGTGGGGGACGATCTGAACCCACTCAAGCTCCCAGAACACCTCTGTGTCTTCAACACTTCACTCTTGGCTGAGCCACTTCTGAGATGGGACCCTCTGGGTTCTGGGCTTTCTAAGGGGCGCGCCCACAGGTCGGGGGCTTGTTTTACGGAACACGGGCATTTCTCATTTCATCTGCACAACAACCCTGCAAGGGAGGACACAGAGCGATCTTGGTGTGGCCACTGGAGTACGGCCACAGAGAGGGTTCAGGTCACATGATCTGCACGTGGTGGAGCTGGGACTCCATCACAGCCTGCCCTGCCTGCCCTGCGGTCACTATCTGCCCTCAAGGCCTTCAGGGCTGGCTCCCGGGGACGTGTGTAGCCCAGGCAAAGCTTCCCAGGGCAGCGGCTGGGCTGGGGGCTGCTGTCCCCCCACAGTCTTCTCAGCACCCCTGGCCCGCAAGTCCCCAGCTCCTCTTGCCACAGGAACATGGACTTGCTGGGCCAACTGGTCACTCCCCCGCCCCCCAACAGGCTCAAGCTGTGTGCTCTTCAAGGATCCGCAGCTCAGACTCCTCAAGCATCCCGAGCAGCTGCTGTTGGTAGGAAGTCGTCTTGGAGGCTGCCAACCTGGGCTGGGCGCGGCTCCAGGCATTAGCTCATCCGCCATGCGGCGCCCTGGAGGGGCGGCATCCCCGCCTTGCCCGCGCGCACACGGATACTTGGAAAGGTTAAGTAACCCGCAGGGGCAACGCCGAGCCTTTATGGAGGAAAACGTGGCCATCTTGTCACAGGTGTGTCAGCAAGGACACTGACTGGCCCACCCAATGTCCCCGCAGTCCCATGCCCCAAGAATGTGTGGGAGGATGCCCGTGAGCACCGTGAGATCACCCTGGACTGAAGACTGTCCCCTGCCCAGCAATGGCACAGAGTCACTGTGCTAAAGGGTGATGTGTGGATAACTGAATAGTATTCAGCAACGAAAAAGGAAACCATTGAACAATGAGCAAAAAGGAGCCAGCCCTGAAAGAGTGAGGGCGTGAGGAGTCTGAGGCCAAAGGACAGTCGGTGTAAATAATAAATAACTGGGTCCTCCCGGGAGGGCGGGGCTGATTCCACAGGAAAGGAAATCAGACGCTAATGCATCCAGAGCCCTTCACCTGTTGCCTAGGTGACTGACTGCCTGCAGGAACCTTTCTCCCACAAGTTGCTAATGGAGTACCTCCCGGGTGGGCGCCTCCTTCCCTGCCCTTTGGGCACACTCGGAAGGGCACCCCTGGAAGGCTTCCCTCCCCTCCTCTTGGCTCAAGGCAGGCAGGACTCAGCTACAGAGTTAGAGCTGAGGGGTACAGGGGGGTGTGGGTGCTGGGAATGTCCCACTTCCCGATTTGGACCCAGGTCACACATGTGTGTTCTTGGAAAGGTCACGGGGCTGGGTGCTCATACATGCATATACATGTGTGTGCTCTGTGTGCGTGTTAGATCATTAAAAAAAAAACTTTGTTAAAAGTTTCAGTCATTCTACTTAGTGGAAATCTATCCAGGAAAAAAAAAAAGTGAACCCCACAGGTCCCAAAAATGAACATGTCACTGTGTCACTCCTTATGCAGGTGGGGTATCCCTTATCTGAAATCCTTGGGACCATGCATTTCAGATTTTGGATTTTTTTCCAGATTTTGGACTATTTGCATATATATGGGGAAATACCATGGGAATGGAACTCGCGGCTACACATGAAATTCATTTAAGTTTCACATGCACTTTATGTAGATAGGCTCAAGGTGGCTTTGTGTGACATTTAGTTTGCATGTGAAACAAAGTTTCTGTACATTGCGTCACCAGACTTGTGACATGGCATTCAACCCGAATGCCTGTCAAAAGCAGACTGTCCAATACATTACTGTGTGGTTAGCAAAAAAAAAAAAAAGAATTAAAAAGGATTCTGGCTTTAAAAGCGACAATTGTGACTCAGGAGGCTGAGGCAGAAGAACTGCTTGCTTGAACCCAGGGGTTTGAGGCCAGCCTGAGCAGTTATCCAGACCTCACCTCAAAACCACGATGATCACGTGTTTGACGTGGTGAGACATTCCAAACAGTGTTTGGCTACAAAGCCACTGTGACACCGTGTTGGAAGTGGGTCAATGTATACAAATGCAGATGTGATAATAAAGCCCCATGAGTTATTTCCTCCCAAATAGTAGCAATTAACTCTCAAGATTGGAATTAAGGACTTTGTTTTACTTCATATTCACTTATAGGCTCCAATTTTTCTCCGTCCCATGCACCAGTCCTAGAACACAGCTCTCAGGACACATTGGGGCCCACATGGGGCAAAACATTTGTAATGAGAAGCCCTTGGCTAAGCACCACGCCCCAGGCACCCGTGTCCTGTGCAGGACACACTCTTCCTGTGTGACACAGGAACAAATTGAGGTTTGGAAGGGATAGTAACTTGCTCAAGGTCATTAACTTTGAAAGAAGTGGATCCACCATTGGAACTCCAAGAGCCTTGCAAAAATAATCATTTTATATGTATGGTTCCCTTTTGTGTTTGCTTTGTTCATTTTTTTCTTCCTTGTCGCCCACACAGTCTCCCTTTGTGTGATCAGTGATCACAGAAAGTCCCTGGCCCTGACCCACAGGTTTTCAAAAATGCACAAATCTGATCAGAAATAAAGATCAGGCCCCTGAACAGGCACAGGGTGGTGCGTGGCAGGCCAGCTGCACAACAACTGTGGTTCCATCTAGACCAGATGCCCAGGCAGGAGAATCCAGACCCGCAGGGAGACCTGGGGCTGGCGAAGGGAACTGGGGAGACTTCTGCTAATGGGGACTGGGTTTCTTGTGTGAGTGGGGGAATTAAATTAGACCGTGCGGATGGTGCATGATCTTGTGATTAGACTAAAATCTCTGCAGCACTGCTTAAATGGGTGAATTTCATGGTGTGTCAATTTTATTTCAATAAAGTCATTTAAAAGTCAGGTGTTGTGGTGTCTGCCTGTAATCCTACCTACTCGGGAGGCTGAAGTGGGAGGATCCCAAGTTCAAGGCCAGCCTGGGCAACAAAATGAGACCCTATCTCACCCCCCCCAAAAAAAAAAATCATATGCATAACAACAAGTCGCATACATAATCACGACAATAAGACAGGAATTAACTGAGCACTTACTGTTTCCTGGGATCTGTGCCCAACCCCACTATTACAGAGCCTGATTCACAAAGTCCACTCATCCACGGACTCTCCCCATTCCAGAGACGGGATCACACAGCTAGGAAGAGGGAGGGCCATCAGACCAGGCTGATCTAAGGAACAGCTGCCGCCTAACCGTGTCCACCACACGCACATAGGTTCTCTCTCTCAGTCCTGCCTGATTGGGAGCAGAGTATCGGAAAGACAGCCTCCTTTCTCGGGGTCCCCTCTTTCTGGCACCCAAGTCCCCAGAGCCA